GATGAGTATATAACTGTATAAGTCTAAATGTATATATGCATGTATAATTTGATGGAATCTTGAACTTAAATCAAATGCATGTCTTACCATTTTCTTAATGTTCTTATATTAATCAATAATTTAAAAGGTTTCAAGTTTAAATGAGTAAGCAATTCAAAAACTTGTTCTTTGAAATAGAGAAGTAAGATGGGATTGTATTAAATAGATTCACTAATAATACATTAATTAATTTGAAAATAAAAATAAAAAAGCATAAAACCATCGTAAATATTTATTTGAATAAGAAGCATTTCTTGGGAAACAAGCTTAAACCAGCTCCTAAAAATAATTACTTCCATTGATCTCAAGAAGTGGGGAAGTTTATTTGCTATAATTGAGAAAGTCATTAAGAAATTACATGCTTCAAATTCTATAATGTAATGGATTAGCATCAATAAAATATAAGCCTTTCTTCTATAAAATTTAAACAAAATTTTCAGTTATTACTATATATTAGTTGCATGGTAGAATATTTATTAAAGTGAAAATTCTCTGTTTTAGTGTGCATAACGTTCTACACATGCATAAATAAGAGAAGCTCATTAGAGACATTGAGTTTATGTGAAATGGGCTTGTTAAGATAATCCACTATATGTGTGAAGGTTATAAAAGTATGCTTTTCCCTAATTAGAAGCAACGAAATTACAAAATGTGATTTGTTGGCTCAACCTGATGTGAGTGTAGTGGTAAGTATTGGAGAAATAGCAAGGGGTGGCAAACGTACACTCTGTAGCTGTTAAAGTCTCTGTCAATGTTGTTTGATGGTGGGCTGTAGCGATTAGGAGGCTATCGTTGAGCAGCAGTGAACATTAGTGTTGAAAGATGACAACTAGGCGAGGACAGTCATGCAATGTCAATTGGGTGACAATAGTTGATTGAAGTGATTGGTGGGTATAATTAAGTTTCTTCTGATCTTTATGCCCTCTCATTTTTTAATTTTTTTCACGTGAGAAATGGGGTTTTATTAATAATTTGTTAGATTAATCTCTTGATTATTTTAGCCAAAATTCTCAAACACTTCATTAGACGATCTGAGTTGATTCCTTTAATCATACTAGATCATTTAAATATTTAGACATCTTAATGACATCACTTGCATGCAATAATATTAAATTTTGTCTATACTTTC